ATAAATCGATCTTTTTATTTCTTTTCTTTTTCTTATAGTTGTAATATTTTACAGTCTAACCAGCGACTGGGGTTGCAAATTAGCCATGGCTAAAGACGTGTATGCATGGCATCTACTTTTTCTACACTATGGAGCAATGCCTCATGTGTTTGTCCCTGTCAAATAAACGGTAAAATAAATGAATACAAAAGAGCAAAAATGGTATTAAAATGCATCCCATTAAACAAATTTGACAGTCAGAAAAACTGGTTTTAATTTAAAAAAAAGAAAAAAGGTTTTAATTTCAGATAGTACTCCACAGCTGTTATTAATGACTTTAAATTCAGCTTTAACCCTGTTTTTACGCCCTATGACTACACCTACAGTATTTAATCCCAGTGACCTTATGTCCTTGGTAACTGTTTTCTGTTTGATGTGTGCTTTAAAAAAACAAAGTTCAATGTTTATTTTTTCCTTTTCAAGAAATTTTCAATCTATAATTTGACCCAGTAAAGCATACCTGCCCCAATTCGATCCAAAACCTTTCTGTTAATCATCCTGAGCTGCATTTATGTTGAGAAAGGGTATAAATAAGTAACTTCCAGCAGTTTGAAACTTCTCTGCAAGAATGGATGCAAACACTTCAGGGTTAACAGACAGTGTCTACCAATAACATGCACTGTGTATTTGTGTGGAAGGATGTGTGTGTGTGTGTGTGTGTGTGTAAGGCTAATGATGCAGGCTGTCAGGGAGAGGGCGGGGGATACCTTTCCAGTGTCCAGACTCTCTGTCTCCTCCCAGGAGGCGAGCTGCCTGACAAAACCCTGCACCCTAAAGACCACAGACAGGAAGACCTGTCAGCACATGATGCTGCTGGCTGTCTGTCAGGACACAGGAGGCCATGATGTGTTCATTTTGTCGTTAAGATTCATTTTTCTGATGTGCTGTTTCATATCATTAACAATAATTTGCCATTTTTCTAGGTTGATTATTTTTACCGTACATCCTTTTCGTGTGTTTGTCTCCTTACTGCTCCCTCTCTTTCACTTGTTTTTGCCATATTACCCACCTATGAGCTGTGTCTAAGAAGGTGCGTGCATGCGTGCGTGTGTGTGTGCATGTCCCCAATGTAGCTTCAAGGCTAAGGCCGCCACGCTCCAGAGATCTGATGGACACCAGCCATCAAAGACGTGTCACAGATATGCAGCTAAAAATACACTCATCCGTCCCTCAATCACCATCTTTCTCTTCTTCATCCCTTCGCTCCATTTTTCCTTCTATAGATTTCCTTTCACCATAAAATAGCTTTGAGTAACTTCAATTAAAAAAAATCATTTTCACAGCAGTTAATTGTTTTTAATTTAAGGTGACCCCTCTCAATTTGTACGTGATTAAAGACACAAGATCGCACCACGGCATGTGCTGCATATAAAAGCATTATTTTATTTTTGTTCCTCGACCGTAAAGGAATAATCTATACCTCTGCTGGGTTGTTCCATTTTTATGAGGATTATGCGACTGAAAAGAAAATTCAAATGCAGTTTTCATTGGAGTGCCCCCTGCTTGAACCAGCTACCTGTAGCTGTTGTTTTCACATAGCCTGAGGAAAAACTGCTTTATGGAATAGAAAAATCAATGACGAATTCATGAAGGACATTCACGACATTCACATTCAACACTCTAAAGGAAGGATTAAAACATTCAACAGTGGCTCTCTGGGCCTTTAGAGACTGAGCACACAGAGACGGAAATGAAAAAAGACAAAACAGCTCGATTAAATATGGACCGAAGATGTGTCAGGACAGAGTGAGCTCCAAGTTTTGGAACAATTATGAAACTTTCTTCATGTTCTCTTCAAAATAGCACTCCAAATACTGAAATTTCCTTTTTAAAAAAGTTTCTTAGAAATGCTGATGTAGTCAGCGATGTCTTTTTATCCCCAGTCAAAACCAACAAACAGGAAGTACTCGATGGCTCTTCAAAGGGAAATAAGTTGGGCTCTAAGGAGGAAATCAATAATAAGATCATCAAGGAGGTTCAGAGGCATCATATCAGCTCTGTGAAAGGAGCCTAAAGAGGAAAATTACCAAACACAGGTGATTACTCTGCACTCCTCAAAGTTTAAAACCTGCAGCGTGATGATCAATACTTTCTGTCTGATGCTGTAATGCATGATGCAAAACATCTTACGGCTCTTGATTCATCTCAGCTCACATCTCGCCTCATAAAAGAGTAGGAGATTGGGAATGAGGTTGTTTGTGACCCAGCTGTGTGGTAATACTTGGTTCTTATGGCTCTAACCCCTCAGTTGTAGTGGTGTACTCAAATCACAGAGTCCAAGATGAGTCTTAAAGGGATAATCTGGCGTAAAGTTAAATTAGGGTCAAACACTTAGCAATACCGAGTTAGACACCCCCTCTAGAGATGAATGTTGCCGACTGGTTGCTTCTGTAGTTATACCAACTTTAGCAACGACCGCAAGATGGCAATACAGAGAGCCTTGTGCTCAACCAAAAAGCCACTCTATAGCCAAAAATAATGCTCAGAACAGCACCTAACTTCTTCAACAGTACAAATAGAATCCCTGCCATAGCACTAGCTACCAAACATCTTTTTAACTTTGCCTGATTTCTTAAGCAAAGAGACTAAACACAGCTCACCTACTCTCTTCCAGCAGACGCTTGTTTGTATGGAGACCTCAGACGAGTCCATTACAAACTGCAGCAGGGTGACACAGCTCAAGGAAGAACATGATTGCATTTCCATAAAGAAATTAATCTCTTGACAGGGTGTCTAACTTGGTGTTAGGGTGTGTTTGGCCCTAACTTAATTTTATGCCGGAATATCCCTTTTAGTCCTCATATTTCATGTCTGAGTCAGCGTCATCAAGGAATAATCCGGACAGAGTTAGAGATGAGTCCTCATTTTTGAGTTTAAGTTTCTTCAGCATTTCACTTGTTTTTCTGGATACATCCTGGACAGATGTCTGTCAAAGTTCAAAGGTCTCCCCATTTTCTCCTTCATGAATCCTGAATAAAATAGGTGCGAGTCCTTATTTGAAACTTAACAAGTTATTGGGGCTACAAAATAACAAACAAAAGCAATAGAATAATATACATGGATGAAAAAAACAAGTCCAAGTCATCAGCACATCAGTCCACTGGAGTCACGGGGTCATGAAAACCAGGACTCAAGCATGACTTAGGTGAAATATTAACACTCAAATATTGTTTTCACAGATCTTAGTCAATTTCAGTTTCAGTGATGGAAAAGAAAGTCAGTTCAAATGTAATGAGTAATTTGTCTGCTTGCACATCCATTAAAGTAGCAGGAAAGTCAGAGCTTGTAGTGCTTAGAAATCAGCTTAGGTAATATCTGAGAAAAACATGCTGATTTATCTAAGGCATACAACAGAGCTCGACCGAGCATGCAGCATCAAGCTCTGGGTTATCCAGCGCAGCAGCACAGCGACTCTGGTGTTTCCAGCACATACCTGTACAGTTTTACACTTGCCCATTGCTCTGATTGCCTGCTTACAAAATGGAGAGCAAAGCTACTGTACTGTAAGTGAATTGGGTGTCTTCAATCTTCTCCAATCACTTAGAGCCTGTGCATCAGCGCATGTCATCCATCATGTGGGCCAGATCACGTCCCAGACAAACGATGCATCAGCATTCTGCAGGACACTAACGCTACCAGCACTGGTCACTGAGGCCAGTGGTCGAGGTTAGAGTCCCTCCGACCATCCGGGATAAAAGATGACCCTGCAATTACACTCCAGCTGATATCAGACACCTGAGCTGACCTCTGGGAGAAAGCTCAAGTCGAAGGCTTTTGTTTTGCTGAGTGTCAAAAAGGCATTATGGAGCCAGAGCATCGGCCATCGAGAGGACGGATGAGGTTGTGTCAGGACACGCCTGAGAATTCAAGGAAGCGTGGAGGAAAACTGGAAATATAGAGTTACAGTGGTGGAGAAATGTGTAACCCTCCCTGTCAGTTTGTGTGTGAGTGTGCGTGAGTGTGCATGTGTGTGAATGCGTAGGGTAATATTTCGCCTGTATACCCATTCTCACAGTATCTGTGCTGTTATGTAGGAATTTAGAGAGTTGTTGCTAGGACAGGGTCAGCATGGTAACCTTGGTAACGTGTCACTATAGGACAGTTGAGCTTATTACTAAATGCTTGACCCACACCTCGGCTGGCTCAGATAGAAGGAGCCATCTCCTGATGGCCTAACCTAATCCGGAGATGGAGGGACTGTTTAATGGATTACTACACCTCTTCCACCTCACTCACTCTGTAACTGCCTCACACACATTCACAGACACAGACACAGACACAGACACAGACACAACACAAGACTGGAGACCGTCTCACTGGAGAATCTTTGAAACATAATCATAAATAGAGGGGTTGATAATTGTTTTCTAATATTGAAAAATTGTTTTGACTTCATGCCAGTCTATCTACCTGTCCTATAAATACAATTTATCTATATGTATATATATATATATATATATATATGTGTATATATATATATATATATACATATATATATACTGATGATAATAATAAAGATATAATAATAACTTTATTTGCATAGCGCTTTTAAAAAGTGCTTTGACATATAGTCATCGAGCACATGGAAAAAGACAGATAAAAACAAAAAGCTCAGTTTAAACGTAATTTAAGGCCATTTTCATGTCACAAGGAATCCAGACAATACAAGAGCCATGCAACATAAAATGAGACCATAAGGACCAAAATAAAAAGATAAAAAAGTTAAGAAAAAAGGAAATGTAATTAAAAGGGGGGTCAAAAGCGGAAAAAGGATAGTGAATATAAAAGGTAATATCAACAATGATAATAAAATAATAACAGGTAATACTGATAATAATAGGAATGATAAAATCGAACAACAGAAATGAGCAAGAGATAAAACAATAAAAGACCTAAAAGGTTAATTAAGAAAGAGTACAAGCATAACAAAAGCTAAAAAGACAGTAAAGCTGAAATAAGATAGAGGTAAAAGAGATAAGAGATAAAAGATAAAAGATGACATCACATAAAAGCAAGTCTGTAAAAGTGAGTATATACACATGATGTATCATATATATTCAGATCTAAACCTGTCTGAATCTTTGCTGTATATCTATCTCAACATATCTATTGATATCTACATCCTTTTATTTCTGCATCTATCAGAATATATCTATCAGCAACTCTAGCTTTATCAATTTCAATCATTTTATCAGTACTGATCTGTATCAATCCATATTTATTCTATTTCTAAATCAATTTCTATCTATCTATCTATCTATCTATCTATCTATCTATCTATCTATCTATCTATCTATCTTTCTTTCTATCTATCTATCTATCTATCTATCTTTCTATCTATCTATCTATCTATCTATCATCAGTATTACATCTACAGCATCCTTTTATGAACTCTCTCTGGTATTCATGTGTGTTTATATTCCTCTGAGTGTGTGCTGCTGGACAAAGCATCGGGATGTTGTAAAAACTGGGTGATGACAGTGTCACCCAGAGGAACCTATAGAGCTGTAGCTCCCCCTGTGTATTCAGCGCGTGCTGCAAAAATAAAACCTGGCACATCCATCCCTCAGTGGGACACCTGCCCAGAAACCTGTGATCCTCTCCTATCAACACATTGTAACTTATGAAAAATCAACATTTATCACAGCAGAATATGTGACACTCACCTGAATATGAATTTTATGAGCACTGACCTCCTTCTGTAACTCCACTCTCAAACTACTGAACTATTTAAGACATCAAACACGGGCAGTTTAGGGGCCAAGCCGTCACATATAAGCAGGTCACACAGACAAACTGGAGCCCAGTAAGATGGAAACCCCCCACGCAGTGAGACAGAAGATTCCCCTGAGCAAAGCCATCGACAGAACAAACATCAAGGAGTGCCTCTCTCTCTCTCTCCTCAGTATGTCAAAGCACACCCTCCTGACCTCCAGACTCCAGATCCTCTCCTCACACCAGTGGTCACATCAAACATTCAGAGGCTACAGCTGCCCTGACATGAGACAACACACAGCCAAACTCATGCACACGCACGCACACACACACACACACACACACACGCTCATACGCACATATACAGGACATATGTGACACTAACATGTGTGCACAAGGACTGGAACGGACTTGAGAGGGGTCTGGAGGATGCCTGTAGATCTGGAGCACAGAGAGAGTAAACTGCATAAACAATACTTTGAAAATATGTTATCAATCACTTTGAATGTAGCCTGATACATCCTATTTTGCTTCATTGATTACAGAGCAACATGCAGTACTAATCAAGTCAAATCAGACTGTTATGAAGTCCAAGTGGACTAATTTGGACTATTCCTTTATTAATCAAATGAGTCCTCCACACTCGCCCATCTCTGTGCCTTGTGTCTCACAGACTCTGTTGCATTACAGTGCTGTATGACAATGTAATCCTATATTGGAGACACAGCACTCCTCCCATCTTCATTAGCAGGAGTTTAAATTCCTCCAGCCTCTCTGAGCGCCCACGACCGGGAGGGGGAACTGTATCCCCCGTCACACTGGGGCAGACTGAGGTGGCGCCTGGGCAATTTCATTTTGTTTAAAAATACTCCCCAAATGTTGTTAGGGCTGCATTAAAGGATCCTGTGTTAAAACAGGCAGGAGGGGAGGATTGAATCAGCTCACCATGAGCCGACGCTCCTCACAGCTCCACTTTGCATTAAAGGCCTGTTGGGTTACACTCACAGCAGGAGACAGAGCTGCAGCGGCCCACACTAACTGCATTAATTCCTCAGTGTTGTTAGATATACAGCACCTGTGGATACAACTTGCTCTGATGTCTGTAATTACTGTCTGAACAACAAAGCAATACATGCTGGCAGCAGCAACTAGCTCAGACAAGACCGTGGCATCTCCTCTGAAGACCTTGAGTTTGAAAGCCAAGTGAAAAATCTGGTAAAATTACGACCGCTCAGTGTTATGGTGTGAGGACTCCGACATCATTAGCTGGTCTGAGAAACAACACTCAAAAACTCACGAGTCCTGAGAGCTTTCGCTGATTTATATCCTCGTTAATCTGCTGTTGTAATCCCAGGATGGGCCCAAAAGAGAAGAGGCTTCTTGATCAAGTCTGACAGGTGTGAAGAAAAGACAAAGCAAGAAAACTTTTTTTTTTCAAACACAAAACGGATGTGTTGGCATTGATGTCATATCAGATTTAATTGAACTAACTTTCCTGACCATTCCTCTACAAAATTTGACCACATGTTATCAGGAATTACTGGCAAAGTTTAAATCCAATAAGCAGTCTAAACCTAAAGTATTACACTTTAAATGACATTTTTACACAAGATAGAGACAAATCCTCACATGATGAGGACTTGAATGAATAAGTTAATTTATCCCCGAGGAAGTTAAATGATCATTCATGTTTTTGTAGGCTCTCAAAATTGAGCTACACTTCTAAATTCTAAATTCAACTAATTTCTTTGCTTTTACTCAGAATCAAAGGTGATGCACACAGGTAATTGTTGCCTGAAAGTAATCACTGTCTGTTGTAAGCTGTAGACAATTTGACATATAGGCCAGTATAATATCCATGGCATAAGAGTATAACGATGTTGATGTTTAACTTTGATGTTAGTTCAAGTTTTACTCTAAAGTAGGTGTAAAGTGATTTCACTGTAATGAAAGATCACTTTTGCTTGCAGTTTAAAACCAAATCCATCATAGAGTCATTGTAAAGATTGGCTTCCCTTTAGCAACTCTAACTCTGACGAGCTCCCAGCATCCCTGCCTGCATGTAGAAACATAATATAGGCACACGTTTACGCTCAGGACTGAAACACTTCAGCATCATTGTTACTCACATTCATCCTTCAAGGTTCACCAGTCCATTCTCCCTCTAAATGTAAAAATTTCATATCTTCCTGCACTTGAAAATGGAAAATTACATCTGATTTTGTGGGGTGAAATATTGATTTTTCAACAGCACTGCAAAGTGCAAGTGGGATTTTTGTCTGTCCGCTCTGGTACGCTCTGTCTCTGTCTTGTGACTGTAAAGCCTGGATCCCCTCTGTCCAGATTTACATCTGTCTGCATGCTTTTCTATACAGTGGAGTGACTATATCTAAGAATTTTTACTAAAAGGACAGCAAAGACTTTTAATTCTTCAATGCAGGCAGCTTATTATGTGCAACATGAGTTCAAACCTGATTTCTCTGTAAAGGGAATAACTAAGTGTATTCTATGATTTGCAGCTTGTTGTATCTACTCATCTTGTGGCCCACTGTACGGTATAGTATAGTATGGTATGGTATTTTAGCATATTGTATCTTACCACAGTGAGTGGTACTGAATCATATCATCCTTAGTATCACACCCAGCACTATGCCATTGTATAATGACATGCCAAACCAAATCATATTGAATCAAATACCATCATACAATATTGCATCTTGTCTCGTTCCTTCACATCCCATCACCTCATCTCATATGACATCACACCGTATTATGTTGTGGCATATACCAAAATATTGCACCTTACTGTGTCATCTCTTGAATATATTACATCCCACATCAAACTGCTTCACATCCCATCTTAATACTGTACATTGAATCATATCATATTGTATCGTATCCTACCGTATCGTATCCTACCATACCACATCCTATCCTACCGTACCATGCCTCGCCGTACCGTATTGTACTGTATCGTATCGTAGCATAGCGTTTCGGATGATGTCGAATGGTTTTGTTTTGAAAGGTATGGTAACTTATCATATCTTACAGCACATTATGGTTTGCTATCATATCCTGGCATATTACATAATATTAAATCTTACAGTGTTACATTGTATTATCTGGTTTGTTAACATATTTCATCATTTTATATAGTAGCCTGTCTTATGTTTTCCTATTGTATTGAATTCTATAGTATCAGAATGTATTGTATTGGGTCATATCATATGCTACACAATCTTACACAACAATACTCAACTCGTTTTTTTGTTCGCCACAACACAAAAAGAAAGTGACTTTTCTAAACAAAATACGCCTTGAACAGTGCGTCAAAGCTTCCTTGAGGTATTGACCAGCTGACTATTGCCTAAGCAGTCAGCTGTGACACCCTTGTTATTACCTAATATATCAACTCCTTTTGGAACATAAATTCAATGTCAAATACAGTCATGTCACAGCAAGAAGTCTTTCTCTTTAACTATGCCATACAGGATTTAATTTTGACAGTAGACTTGCTGATTTAACTTGATCTGAAACGTTTTGTTTTAGTTTACTGTGTTCAACTCATCTAAATTACACTCCAGCCTTTTCATCTCAGGACAACCAAAGTCTACGCTGTCTACTAAAATCTCTTAAATATGAACAACAAAGGCTGATTAAAAAGTCCTTGTTTAGCTTGTAATCCTCTTACATGAGCATAGGTTTGTTCATAAAGGCAGAATGAGACAATTCTCCTTGTACAGAGTAGACAGGATTCCACTCTCATTTTCAACAATAGTCGGTAAATACATACTTTTCTGTTCTGCACCTTCACAGCACAATGATTCCCAGTTCTTGAGTGACCTGTGTGCATTTACAAGGATTGGCGAAGAAGAATGAAAACACATTAAGGCCATTATTTAGAAAAGGTTTTCATCAATAAGATGGAGCCCTTACATCTAATAGAGACAAGATGCCAGGTATTGCAGGCATTTTTTTTCATGTTCCTGCAATCAAGAGGCCCTTCAGGACTCATCACAAAGGCTTAATCGCTTTGAATAACTGTGGATGCTGAGGGAGGGGCTGTTGTGCTGTAATAGTGTGTAAAAGTGTGCAGAAAGAACAGAGGGGGGGGAGAGGACGATATATGACAATACGCTGTTAGATCATTGTAGAGGTTCAAACACACACGGTCCAAGTACGAGGTCAATGGTCTGTCTTACCTTTCAAGCTAACTGATGGACGTTGACCCTCCCCTTATGGACTACGATGGACTCCTGAAAACAAGATGGATCTGGGCGTCCTCACATTTGCACTCTGTGAAAATGCCTCGAGCATTCATCAAAATGACACACAAAGAAGCCGACGTTTGTGTATTTCCAGTGTGGTTGAATAAAACGACGGCTGAAGGCTCAATTCAACTTCAGGCTGCTTATGAATTAGCCGAGCGTTCTCAGTCTTGTTCATTAGTACGACGAGCAGGATGGATTAGGCAGTTCATTGATTTGAGCTTTATTCATGATAACACAATAATGTGCATTTTGAGAATTAGCAGAGCAATATAGTGTTTCGATACACCGACTCTGGTATTCATTCTCCTTCAGGGTAAATTGCTCAGTTTAATCAGATAAAGCCATTCATCACACCGGAGCTTTTGTTAAATCTATTAGGCTTCATCTTTTTATGATTAAGAGCTTTTTAACTGATTTTTCTCCCTCTCCTTTGAGCCCCAGGTGGCGGTGGAAGCTGCTACAAACACAGATATTGCTTCTCTGCATGTACTACAGCATATGTGTGCGCGTATCTGTGTGCGCGACGAGCATTGTGCGAAACGTTGAGTGCATGAGTTACAGCTGAGGCAAGCTGAGGAGAACAAAACCCGGCTGGTTGGGAATGAGTCCTCTTTATCAGGCGATCGGTGACCGGTGGGAAACCTTGAGAGCCCAAACTGTGTTTTAAGTGAGACTGCAACTGCTGAGGCCATTATCCTTTCACTCTTAAACCTTTCTCTCTCTATGTCTGTCTGAATGTGTGTCTGTATATGTGTGCATACATGTGTGTCCGTGCCTATGTGTGTGTGTGTGTGTCCTTCCCCTGCCTTGAAAGCCCTCGGAGCCTCAGGGAGCTGTGAAAAATCAATACTCTTCGGCAGCTCTGCCTCTTTATTCATTTAATAACTCACTACCATTGCATTACTGTTCCACTGATCTCCCATCACAGGGCCCAGATTGACACCTTTGTGCTCTTTTACCACACTGGAGTTTGATGTAATCAGTTAAACCTCCACCTCATGCCTGACACATGCATCAAATGGACCTTGAGTATGAACATGGGTGCATCAACAACACTGCAATATGAAAAAGAGGAGTCAAAGTGTAAGTGTGAGGGAGGAATCTGCCCAGTGTCTGCCGTCTGCTTGGTGGTCTAACTCTGTAATCCTGGAAGTGGGCGTCGAATGGGACTAACACACACAAATAACAGGGGCAATGTGAGAAAGCAGGGCTGGGACCAGAAAGACCACCTACTGTGCATACTGAAAGACTCAAACATGAGCCGCGTTCGTGTGCGAAACGACAGAAATCAGAGCTTTATTAATGCATAATACACGAGGTGAGGTGTGATGACAGTTTGCACCAGGTGACGAGCACAAGTCATGTTTGAAATGTTGCAAACTCTGACACGGGAGGACTGTGTGTGCGTTTGCATAGGTGTGTGTGTGTATGTGTGTGTCTTTGTGTGTGCACATGTACAGTGATTGTGATGCTGGAGGTGGGGGTTGCCTCCCTGTGTGGGACTCGGAGCAGAGAGCAGGTGGGCTCGGGATGGAGCAGAGAATCTGTATTGATTGTTTTTGTGCCTCAGAGCTGTTTAGCCGTTGTCAAAGCTGCCTCCACCAGCTGAGAGGCAAATTGCAGCATTTACACCGGGAGGCGTTTTCTTTTCTTTCTTTTTTTAAAATCTATTTTTATATTTATTTATTTTACAATGGGAGATGTATCTACAGTCTTCTGTGTCAGAGGATTTTCTCTCTGCTTTATTCACAGCCTCAGCTCAACTGACAAAATGACAGGGAAGTCAGACCGCAGCAGAGGCGTTCCTGTTTTCTCTACAGGAAATTCAGTCTTTTATTCAAACTGACAAAAAGTCAAAGTTCACCACAACTACATACATGAGAAAACTATTTTGTAAAGGAGGATGCCACCAAATCAGGAATGCATCATTAAAGTTCACACGATGAACTACAGTAAAGCATTTACATTCGCGTTCCTGTCGAGGCTTTTGTTCAGTAGCAACTGTCTGAAATACTGTGAGCAGCAGGCCTCCTTTATTTAAAAAAAGTTAATTACAGGCAATTATGACAGTGTGTACATTTCTACTTGAGGAAATATTGGGCTAAAATGATGACCGACAACTTTAGAAAAGAGTCTTTTAAAGGTTCCATTCATAAACTCACAACAAAGAGAGAGAGAGAGCTCAGAAGCTCTGTAAGAGAGTTTAATTTTAATGACTTAAAAGTTCCTTTCTTTTGCAAAAGTCATTCAAATGTTTTGGCTCATTTTAACCTGCAAAGGGGCATCAAGATTTACACCAGGCATGGATGATTTTCAACGAGTTTCATGATCAAATTAGAGCATTTGCTGCCGCATCACAAGCACAGATTTATGATACAGTTATAAATACAGATTGTTATATAATTCATTGCTTTACAGTGCTTTTTGTACCAACCATACAGAAAAAAGTGTAAAAATGTAGATGCAAATGACAAAACTAAACAACAGACCTAAATTACTTAGTCTTAATTGATCTGAAAGCACTTCTCATGTTGCACATTTCCTCATAAACTAAATTCATGAGCATGAAGATATAACAAGAGTTTAACCAAGAACGCTCCCACAAGTCAAGATCAGTTCGGTTGCTTGTTCTGAGGCCTGTACGCCAAACAGTCAAACATGGTGGTGGATCTCAGAGTTAGTAATTTGCCACATGCAGGCTGACCAAAGCAATTTCTTGCAGTGTAGAAAACAGGAAGAAAGATGGAGGGAAGTAAGCAATCAATCAAAAAAGAAACAAACAAAGGAGCCAAGAAAGCAAACATATGTTTACATCGACCACAGAGCAGCTCTGCTCCATTATGCAGCTGTAGGACCCTGTTGGCAGACCAAAGATAAAGACACAGAAAAACAGACAGAAAAGCGATATGTCCAATGTTTTACCACCATAAAGCACTGATTTAGGCCCACAGAACTTTACAATGCTGTGTTTTACCTGATAGGTTGAGTCATCAGAGCAGAGGGCTGAGTGGATGATTTTATGATGGCGCTCAAGCAGAAGACGCACACTACAGCGTGTTTGCTGATCCAATAAGGCAGCAGGGAAAGCTAATGACATGAAAGGAGCTGCTGTTTGCCAAACACACTGAAACACATGATTGATTGATAATCCAGGAGGCCTCGATGTCCTGTCAGTCAATAATATAATAGCATATACAATATGCGGCTGTGGCTCTAAAGTGGTGCATGAATACAGGCTGAGAAACACTCAACAACAGACCATTCAGCGCTAATTGCTGGTTGGAGAGGTGTTGGGGGAGTAATTAGCGGGTGGTGGAGAAATCAAGTGGTTACAATCTATATGCAACTGCTGCTGTTAAAAAGGACCCCTAACATGAAATGGCTGAGAGAGATGTGTTCACTGACCTACTTGATAAAGAGGCGATTAAAATCTCTTGAGCATTTTAAGCGCCGCAGAGAAACTATGGACAGCAGATTGTTAAATATATATATATTTAGTTACTGTTCTCAACAAAGATGTGAGAAAAAATAACTTTTTGTCTCCATAACTTGTTCTTTTTTAACACATCATTTCCAAACTTTTACTTACTTAATTTTCACTCTTAAAGAAGATGATTTCAGCCAGAATAATATGACTAAAAATCTATTAATTCTGGGTTGTTTTAAATCAAAGTCGAATTTGTTTACTTAATAAATAACTCTGTCATATTCAACCAAAACACATTTTGCATTTAAAATAAATGAATTCTCACTTTGAGGGAAATCGCTGTAGAGACAAAGAGCTGCAGACACAGAGATGTTGAGAAGAGTTAGTGGGTGTGTTGTGTTGCTGCTTGGCTCGGCTCCATGCAGAGAAGCTGACATTAAATCATGCATCGTGCTTGTTTGCGTGTGTGTATGTCCGTATAAGTGTGTGTGTGTGTGTGTGTGTGCTTATTGATTGGCTTGCACAGCTTTATAGCGCTGCGTTGTAAATGTCATGTTTTTACAGGCTACTGTTTGATATAAACCTGATTAAAGTATTTGCTGGCTAACACAGATTGCAAGCAGCAAACGGCTACAATCAGACGATTACTCAGCAATTAGGAGCCGACTCAATGACTATATGACTGTCTGATCAAACAGAGTAAACAAAGCGTTTCCGTGCTTCCTCGCCCCTCATCCTCAGTCCTTCTCTGTGTGTTTAAGTAATCTCTGCTCTTAACATGGCTGATATCTTAGACTCATATATGTGTCTCTTTGGACACTTTAATTCCACCTTATTTCGAGACATATGTCTACATTGTGTTTCCACAGTACATGAACACTGTTTTTATCTCAGAGTAGATCCACGGATATTTACACAAATGAGAAAACCTGCTTTGGATCTGAAAAAAAATCTTGATCTTGAATAAGACTGGTACGCTGTCTTCTCAAAGACTGTGTATGGAGGGGGCTTTTTTTTTAACATTCTCGTATTTTTATAAA